TTAGGTTGGACATTAGGAAAAAGTTTCTGTCAGGGTAGTCAAACACTGGAATAAATTGCCCAGGGAGGTTGTAGAATCCCCATCTCTGGAGATATTTAAGAGTAGGTTAGATAAATGTCTATCAGGGATGGTGTAGACAGTATTTGGTCCTGCTATGAGGTCAGGGGACTGGACTCAATGACCTCTTGATGTCCCTTCCAGTCTTAGTATTCTATGATTCTATGATTCTATTCAGGTAAAACTCTCATTGAAGATCTCAATGAAAGTTTTCTCTGAATCAGAACTGAGTCTGAACGTCACATTTTGGAATACTAATAATGTGTAACTGCAACTCAGTTATTTAAATGTTGTTATTAAAATACCTGACCAAGGGCCATAGCTGACTAAACCTCATTTAGTCCTCACTTCAGTGACAGTTAAGGGCCTTACAACTTGCAGGAGCAATCTCAGCATGTGCAGTGCTGTAGCGTGGGCACTTATGTGGTAGAATTCTTATCTGATTTCAGCTGGTGATTAGCATATGTTTTAAGGGTAGATTCTGGTTTTTAAACTCATATATGCCTAAGTTAAACAACAAACTTTTTAGTTGCCTTAACAATACCCTGGGTGATAGGAATGTCGCAGGTTGAGGATACACTTGTACGCTTTTAATTACAAAAAAGTTAGGTTGCACTACAGAGCAGGAAACCGGGGGAGAAACTCAAATGTAACAATAATCATTACAAAACAAGTACTCTCTGATAGCATGGGTTAGTGCCAAATGCTTCTTGGTTGGTCTGGAGAACCTGGGCCATTTATATCGAGCACATCTCTAACTTTATCAGGTATCTTCTTTCTTTACTTATGATACGTACCTTTCAGCTTTCAATGGGGGCTCCTTGTGACTCCTTGGTCCCTGTAAGTAGGGTCCTCATTGGGCTGGGGCCTAGTGATTAGTACACATTCAGTCAGACCCATACACTCCATTAGGCTTTGACCCAGAACCCTGGGTAGATTAGCACCATTGACCCTGGGAGGCGGGGGGCGGGAACACCTTTGAATTACGCTCCCTAAGTTTCAGAGGGATAGCTCTGTTAGTCTGGAACACAATAAACTAAAATACAACAAATAGCCTTACACATTTGACACCTGCAGTAGAGGTTTAAACTAAGACCTTATCTGGATAGCCCACTACATTACATACCCTAATGACATAAAAAGCCAAGCACCAGGAACGTAGAGTACTTAGAGCCCACTCTGTCAGCCTCATTTACCATGGACACACTCATTGACAATATATTGTTTCCTTCTCTTCCACCCCACCCCCCTCTCTGCTATTTATTTGTCCCCTGGGCCACTTAATTCCATTCATCTGAAAAAGTGGGTTGTGCTCACGATACCATCGACATGTTTTGTTAGCCTCCCTAAATTGCTTCCTACTGCTGCTTCCTCTGCTTCTGGTCTCAGATAAGTAAACAGAAAAAGAGAACCAAATCATCAGCCCCAGCTGGGTTCAGCATGCAGTCTTGATACTTCAGAGAGGCAGCTATAGCCCCTTTTAATTGGAGCCTGCCATGTAGGTCTGTTCTTCTCTCCAGCCTTCTGAGTTGGGTGGCTCACTTTTCAACCCTCTCTCCAGCAGTAGCATGTTCTGCTGGGCTGGAGGGATGGGATTAGCTGGACCCAGTACAGTTATTCCTTCCCAGCAGGTAGGTTTGTACACTCCATTGCTGTCCCCTTCTCTTCTTCCTTTACATGTTAGCTCTGGGTAATCTCATTGGCAAACACAAATTCAACTACCATCTGTGTGTTGATGATTCTGACCTACCTATCTACTCCAAAGCTGTCTCCTTCTTTCTAAACTAAAATCTTGGCCTGTGTTCTTGACATCTCCTAATGCATGTCTAGCAGTCAGCACAAGCTCAACCTGGCTAAAACAAAGCTCCGAATCTCTTTACCCCTCCACTACTTCCTTTCTTGAGCCGGATGTTACTCAGACCTGGGAGTCCTCACATCCAGTCCACATCTAAATCTTGCCTATTCTTTCTGCATATCACAGAGAACATGCCCTCCAAAAAGACAAGCATCCATCAAAGCCTTTGTGCTATATCTGTGTATATTGTTTCTGCTTCTTCCACTTGAGGGATCTGTAGGATTATTATTATTATTATTATTATTATAAATGGAATTTCTACTGTTAAATATTCAGTACGTGCTGAGATGCTTAGGGTATTAGTACCAGGCATGGATGAGAGCTCTCTGCTATGGTTCCTTGGGATTTATAAAGTTCTTTGGAGGACTGTTGATAACTGTTTATGGTGACACTGCAATCTCCTAATCCAAAAAGTCACTACCAGGCTCAGTCTTTGCATACATAGGACAAAAATATGGATTTTTTTTTTCTGAAGAAAATGTGCTGAGCAACGTGCTGTTTTCTCCTTTTCTCTGACGACTAAGCTAGAAGGTTTGATAGACTCACTAATGTACTACCAGGGCGAAGGGCTTTTTCCACCAACAAAAAGCAGCTTTTTGACCTCTAAGAAAATGCAATTATGTGGATGTTCCAATTTCACATAACTTCATCTACTGTGCTGTAATAGCACATTATTCTTCAAATAAAAGCTTACAGTTCCACAATTGACCTACAAAGCAGGACTCTAAACCAGGGGCGGACAATAATTTTTGATGGGGAGCCACTCCGAGATTTTGGAAAGTGGTTGCCCTCTTCCATGATAGTAATGGAGGAGGTGCAGGGTTTGGGATGGAATTTGGGTGCAGAAGGAAGCTTGGGGTTAGGGATTGGGGTGCAGGAGGGAGAGTGGGGTGTAGGAGGGAATTTGGGTAAAGGAGGCAGTTGTGACCTAGGGCAGGAGACTGGGGTGCAGGGGTTTGGAATGTGATGTAGGGCAGAAGGGTGCTGCGTCTTAGGGCAGGGGACTGGGGTGCAGGGGTTTGGGTTGTGACCTAGGGTAGGAGCGGACTGTGATCTGGAGCAGGGGATTGGGGTGCCAGATCTAGGAGAGAGTATGGGTGCAGAAGGGGGACAGAGGGTTTGGGTATGTTGAGTGGGGGGCTGAGGGAGGAGGAAGGAGGGAGGGGCCGGGGTGCCAGAGGCAGGCTCTGGTCAGGAGACTTACCAGCCAGAAGCCCAACCACCCTGCCTGCCTGCAGAGCTAAATGCTTGCAGAGCTTAAAATGTTTCTCAGCCAGCTAGCCTGCCTGCATAGGCAGCATAGCCATGTGCTTGTGTGAATAACTGAGCTAGAGGGGAGGGGATACGGTGCTTCCTCCAGGGATTGTGCTGGGGATGGGGGCAGTGCATGAAGCCTTCTCACCTCCTTTCCAGATTCACCGTTTTAAAAGAGAAACGACCCCATAGCCACTTTTCTGAGCAGTGTGTGGGGCTGTGGGACAAGCAGGGGAGCCTGCCTGCGCTTGGTGAGCCAGATCCTGCACACTGGCCATATTTTGCCCAGGCTTCCTCTAAACCAATCTGATGTTTTCTTGGGTAAGGACAAGGCTTGATAGCAAATGTATTTTTGAGAGAGCAGAAGAGGGATTTTTTGTTTTGTTTTTGCACTCTGGGTCTGACCCCAAACCCATTGTAGTCCCTAGAATTTTCTTCAGTAGCTTTTGGAGCTGGCCTTCTGACATAAATGTTTCCAATTTTAAGGCCTAATTCTACAAATTGTGTTGATTATCTCCTGCAGGTGCTGAGTGCCCTCAGGTCTTTGATATTTGGAAAGATGCTAAGTGCTTTTCAGGGCTGAGCTCTTAGGTTGTGATCTACTAAAAGGACTTTTGTATGTGATCCTGAGCGATACAGTCCCAAACTTTTAGGCACCTAGAGAATCACAGGATCAACACTAGGATCCAAAAGCGCTGGGGTGGGGGTCAGGTGTAGAAGGAGAAAAGAACAGGTGTCCCTAAACACTATGCTATGGAATGTTCCTCTAGATCAGTGGTTTTCAAACTTTTTTTTTCTCATGATCTAGTTGAAAAAAATTGTTGATGCCTGTGTCCCAATGTAATTTGACTAGAGTATGGGCTCCAGGATGGGGCTGAGGATGAGAGATTTTGGGTGTAGGAGGGGGCTCTGGCTTTGGGGGTATCAGGGGTGTGGCAGGAGGGTCTTACCTCGAGTGGCTCTTGGTCAGTGGTGCAGCGGTGATGTTAAGGCAGCTTACTGCCTGTCCTGGTACTGCAGACCATGCTGTGCCCTAGAAGCCGCCAGCAGCAGGTTCCCAGCCAATGGGAGTGCAGGGGCCGTGTATGTAGCCCTGTGCACTCTTTCTCCATCCCCCTTCCCAAATAGGAGCCAAGACTGCTGCCAGTCACTTCTGGGGCGCAGCGCAGACGGCGGTGCCAGGACAAGCAGATTGCTGCCTTAGCACCCCCATTGGTCACTTGATCCCCCTGCGCAATGCCACCCAGTACCTGACATTCCACGACCCAGTCCGGGGTCACAACCCGTAGTTTGAAAACCACTGGTCTAGCTTGCCTGTTGAACTTGTTCCACTGTTTAATTAGCGTAGAGATGGAACCCAGTACACTTAAAGGGCAGATTTTCTCAACCCAATCCTAGTTTGATTAATTCATTTAACCTTTAATGAAAATCGGAAGCAATTAGTTCTAATATGTAGGAGGAAAATCACCCTGTGCAGAAAGAAGCCAGGCATGCGGACTTCAGTAGCGTGTGGGCTTTGATTGCTTTCTGCATCGGGGTGAATTACATCTCCAAGACTGCAAAAGCGGCAAGGAGTCCTGTGGCACCTTATAGACTCACCGAAGTGTTGGAGCATAAGCTTTCGTGGGCAAAGACCCACTTCGTCAAATGCATGTCCCTAAGATGCATCCCCATTACTGTTTTACTGAGCACAAATTCATTTTTAAAATGTTTTCTTAGAAATGTCTGTCCATTCAGTGCCTACATCAGTGGAAACTGAGTGACACAAGAATCTATCAACAGCAGCTGCCAATTTACTGACACTCCCCTGAATGTGAGTGTCAGGTGACTTTCAGAATGGTAAGGTCATTTTTATTGTCATAAAATGTTTCTAGCCCACATTAGTGCTGTAGGGACTGACAAGTGCTTTGGGTAACTAGCAGGACAGGAATGAGCCAGTCTGACTACTCTGAGACCGCTCCTTCCAGAGGCTGTAAATCTGGAAGTGCTTTCACAGCAACAGTCAAAAGCTGAACTGTGTGATATCATCTTTGAAATGACAGAAAGTTCTTCCAGAAGTAACAGAACTCAAAATGGCAGCAGTCACTGCTGTGGAGCTGGATTTGGTTGTTAAATTAATTGCATCTGAACATTGTTTCACCAGTAGTGAAAATTTGTATTAGGCCACCTTTATTTCTTTCTCTTGGAATTGCAGAGACAGGCTGCATTTCTAGACCGTCTAGATCTCTAGAACACATTCCCGATGAATATCCACACTCATTGTTCTATTGAGAGACCTGCATTTTGAATATCACTTTGGCCTATGTTCTGTTCTCTGTTCTCCTTAGCATGACTTAAGACATTTACTCAACTTGTGATTCATTCTGACAGGGATTTATCTTTCAGGGGTTCAACTACAGACAAAGTTTCAGTGAGCTCTCTTACCACGGAATTTTTTTTTTTTCAGAATTGAACTGATGAGAAAACTGTGAACCCATCTGTCAGTCCATGGTGCACATATTGCAGGCAGCTGTGGTCAATGAGCCAGGCCTATGTGAACCCAGTGGACAATCAGTGGGTGATCTGCACATATGATTTGCATGAGTCGGCTGCCTAAAGTTGCCTAAATAGCTAAAAGTTCTCCTAATTTATTGGGCTGCTGGTTGTGGTAAGCATCTGTTCATGTCCTGCTTATTGTAACTAAAGACAGAGACATGGAATAAAAAAATCTTGGAACACTGGGACACTGATGGATTAAGGTATCCTTTTTTCTTTTAAAAAAATGTGTATTCTAAATAAATTACTGGACCAAATTCTTCATTTGTTTGTGCTGGTGTCATGCCACTGAATATAACTCAGAGCCAAATCTGGCTCATTATGTATGCAGCTATACATGTTGTACTTGTTTAGCTGAGAAGATTTTGTCCAGTCCTCTGTTATTAAGGAGTAATGGAAAATGACTCTGACAATAAAACGGGAACAGGGCTTGCCAAAAGTATCATGAGAAGGCACCAGATCCTGCTGGTAAACTCAAGCAGCAATTCAATCCTCTTAATCTAGGAAAGACAAACAAAAGCAAATATTATGCCATTCAAGAGCCAAAAAATGTTACTTGTCTCTCAGGCTAACCTCAACTGAGGAGCTCTCAGTTCCTATGGAAGAGAAACTCCTTTCCTGGTTGACAAATGTGAGTTTAAGATTCCAGGCCTGCCCCTACTGTAAATATTTAATCTTCTTAAAATACATCTAAAACGTATGTGTCCATTAAGTTTGGCTCCTGGGTCACAAGACAATTGTGGGCCTCCCTGAATAATTAAGATTCCCTATCAAATACTTTTGACCTGAGATTCAGCCTGATGTAAAACCATTAAAATTCAGTGGGGAACATTCCTTGAGATAAATTTGTGCTACTCTTTTCTGCTGCTGCTTGCAGATATAGAAGGGGGAACACAAATTATAAAACAATCCAAGATGAGGGCTTGATCCAAAGCCCATTAAGATCAATGGAAAAAATCCTGCTGACTTCAATGGGCTTTGTAGCAGGCCCTTAAAAAGCCAGTGTTTGTTTTTGTTTGTGCTCACTGCTAATCCTCTGACACCAGTGAAAAGGGCAGGTGCAACTAAGAGCAGAATGTGGACCATTACCTTCAAGCATTAGCATGTGGACTTTGCATGGAAATAGAGATTTCTCATTTTTCCTACAGGTTGGCTTGGCAGGCATATTTGTATGCTACCTTGCACAGGTAAAGAAAGCTACCTTATTGAGGTTAGAGCATGTAGGGACAAAGTGAGAAAGGCTAAACGTCAGGTAGAGTTGGACCTTGCAAAGGGAATTAAAACCAATAGTAAAAGGTTTTATAGTCATATAAATAGGAAAAAAACAAAAAAAGAAGTAGTAGGACCGCTAATTACTAAGGATGGAGTGGAGGTTAAGGATAATCTAGGAATGGCCCAATATTTGAAGAAATACTTTGCTTCAGACTTTAATGAGGCTGATGAAGAGCTTAGGGATAATGGTAACATAACAAATGGGACTAAGGACATGGAGGCTGATATTACCATATCCGAGGTAAAAGCCAAACTTAAACAGCTTAATGGGAGTAAATCGGGAGGCCCGGATAATCTTCATCCAAGAATATTAAAGGAACTGGCACATGAACTTGCAAGTTCATTAGCAAAATTTTTTTATAAATCACTAAACTCAGGGGTTGTACCATTTGACTGGAGAATTGCTAATATAGTTCCTATTTTTAAGAAAGGGAAAAAAAGGCACCCGGGTAACTATAAGCCTTTTAGTTTGACATCTGTAGTAATGC